TCATACAATCTATCGAAATCATTTCGTGGTATGAGCAACAGGTCTTCTTTGTCAACAAAAAAACACTAACGTGCACGAATTGGATGGGCACAGAAAGAAAAAATTGATTTTGGGAAAACTCCAACAAAAACCATAGCAACAACCAACAGCACATTTCCTCTATGTGGCAAATCACACATCATCATCAAAAACCTAGGTACTCTCCGCCAAAAAAAAATTATGCGACAGCATGAGCGTTTAGCGATTTAAACTACGCCGTATTAAATGTACAGTATAATTAAACATTCGTTGGCTCCTCATTTTCTGGAGGATCTTAGAAATAAGATTGGAAGCGTTAAATTTATTTTGGTTTTGGACAAATCAAGTGACAAAGCGGCTCGGTAAATAACAATTATTTATTAAACACCTGATCTCTCTTTAAAAGATTGAATACTTTATAATTTGTATATATGTATATGCATATACATATATCTATAATTTCTACGTTAATGGTTTTAGGTGTCGTTATTAAATACGTCTCTGTTGAGAGTGGAGTGATGATTTCGACGTTCCTGATTTTAATATTTCTCTTGAAAGTGGAGATTCCTTGTCTATAGTTGAAGGAATCAAACAATTAAAAACAAATGAATAATCATAAATGAATTTAATTAAGAAAATAGTGTTTTTTAAACCCAGCTTTTATTTTGGCTTATTTTTTCTTGAATTTAGCTTCTTTTAGCTTCTTATTTTTGCCAATCTGGCTCTATTTGCTCGAAAAATTATGACAGCACTGTATTCCACTTACAATTCCAATTCGAAAAGGGAAATTACGTTGAGGCATACTCAATTCCTATTCAAAACCAAATAGAAATCATTAAAGAAACACAAGGAAATTTTTTGACCTATACATGGACATACATATATGTAGTTCTATCTAGACATATGGAAGATAATCAGCTAAATTGAATCTGTAATCTGATACTCTAAAATTATATTTGTATGATTATACAACACTAGATCTATATTGAAGATCTAGTGTTGTATAATCTGATATACTGAAACTATAATCTGATAATCTGATGGGAATATATTTGTATAGTTCAATATCTATAGTTCTGGTTGCTGGATATTGAAAGGATATTAATATAGACCGTCTTCAAAATAATTACTATTCTATTTTTAGCGTATATATCATACGCATATAGGAACTGCAATCGAAGAAGTCTTCTTCTATATATAGTAGTTTCTATCTATTCATAAAGAGGCATGTACGATAAATTCTATTTGCGTACTATCATAAAAAAGGTTAATGTTTTTATTTTTATCAAATTACTATTCCCAACTTTGACTATGAATATGAAATAATCTATGATAGATATAAACATATCTATAAATTCAGCTAATATAACAAACTATTTTTTAAAGATATAGTTCTCATTGCTATGAATTGTCTCTACTTACATCGCTCATATCGCCAACATCCAAGTTTTTACTGTCCACCATGCTGCCATTTGTGTCTGCCGATCCCAGGGGACCAGGAGGACCGGCATTCACTGGTGGCCACGGAGATGGTATGGTGCCGGGTCCAACTGCAATAACAATGAAAAAACAGAAAGCAACAAATAAGACAAACAATTTATAAAAGCGATTTTTTGGATGGATTTTGAGTGCGGGATCTGTGACAAGTCTTAAGCGCGGTCGCAGCTACATAAATCTGTGTCATCCTCCACCAAAATGCGTCCCCCATACCGCCGCCCACCAGAGCCGTGCCGAACACGTTCTGGCCCAAAACCTGTGCAACAGCCATCCCCAGTGGCCGGGGTGTTGATATGCATTATGAATTTGCGTGCTGTGTGTGCGAGATGAAAAGCGCTTCAGCACGCACTTAAGTACGTTTTTCATTTGATATATTTAACAATGGTGCCACATAGTATATCTCTATAGGTGTGTGTGTGAGTGTATGTGCGAGTGGAGGCGGCAGCGTGATGGGTGGGCGTGCCGCCTGGCACATAGTTAAACCAACGAGACAATCAACGCGTCTACTCCAAATTGATAATAATCATTTACCATGGCTGAGCACAAGTGCATAATCATTTGGCTAAGCGAGTGCCAGACACGCACACACACAAGTGGCATGCTGTATGTGTGAATGTGTGTGTGTGTGTGTGCTCATCACGGCTTGCAGCAGTTCAATAGCCAAGTTTAATGCCAGAGATCAAGCAGCTATTAAACATACATTAGTCAGTCATAAGCGATGCATACTGTACCTATGCAGTATACAGGGAGTATAAAATACCATAAATATGCAGATAGATGTACATACTTATAATGTGCATATACATAGGTAATAATAGGTATTGTAATGGTTCAATATTTTAGTTGAATTTAAACTAATTTTATGAGATCTTAAACTTCATCGTGATAGGACTATGAGAATGTTTTCGGATTACTGCCGATAAATTTCATATAAATCATTAAAGCTGGCGAAACTATAACTCATAAGATGTTTAGGTATGCAACGATTAGATAGATGGACAAATGCAGTCTCAGGATCTAGTCCTTCGAAAAGTAGTTGTATACAAAATTGATACTATACACCCAGGAGTGTATGCATTGGTATTACATGCAAGAATCTATAATCTGTAATAGGCTGCAATCTAAGCAGTACTAGAGACGTCTCTCTGGAAATTACTCTGTAGTAGTGTCTATAGATTTTAGTAGCTCCATAGTCGCAGTAATCACACCAATGTCTTAAGCTATATTGAAATAAATATGTCAAATAACAAAAATTGTTTCTCTAGTAAACTCTCTCCGATATATTTTTAGTCGCCTCTAATCGGCTTTGGCAATATTTCTTCATATCATATCTTATAGTCTCTAGTAGTCTCTCAAGTCTCTCTCTCTCTCTCTCTCTAATAGTCTGTAATAGTCTGGAATAGTCTTTGATATTGATTCTCTCTGCTAATCTCCAGACTTTTAGAGCTGTCTTTGATAATCTCTAGTCGTCTCTGTTCGTCTTTGCTGGCCTCTGTTAGTCTCTAATTGTCTCTTGTCGTCTGTAATAATCTCACGAGTCTCTCTCTACTCGTCTCTAGTCATCTGTAGTGGCCTTTTGCAGTCTCTAGTCTCTGATCGTCTCTGATCATCTCTAGTTGTCTATTGTCGCCTAAAATAATCTCTTGAGTTTCTCTCTACTAGTCTCCACTCATTTTTGGTAGCCTCTAGTCGCCGACATTTGTCTCTAGCCGCCTGTCACAGTCTAAAGTAGTCTCGATTACTCACTAGTTGTCTTTAGTAGTCTCTAATTCTCATAGTTTATATTAGTCTATGTACAGTAGAATCTGATTATAATGATTCAGCTTATAACGTCCACACCGTTCCCAGATAAACTTATATGAGTAAACTTATACGATTTTAACGTATTCCGGGTATAACCACAGTTCCTACCTTTCCAGTAGTTTGGAAATTTATATGCATAGTATATCAAAATCTATCTATATATCGTGCTATACATTCAGTAAGAATCTTAGCTATATGCTCAAATTAAAACCAAATGGGTAGATAATGATATATAGATATAGATTTATATGTATCTACATATATTATGCCAACAAAAATTTCAGATAATTTTGCTAAACTTAAAAACGGACCTGAGCGCACTTACTGAACCACATACAAACACATATATGTCTCTATACATGTATACGTGCTATAGATAATATTAGCTAACTTGGTAAAAAACAAAAAAAACCAAAACAAAAAACGAACAAACGAAAGATTATGAATGCTTTGGTCGCGCTACCTGTGCGCCTGTGGCGGCACTCAGGTAGGCCATAGCCATAGCTAGGCGGCGTCTATAGTGTCCAGGGTGTCGCACTCACCGGACAGGGTCTTAAATTCCTCGAGGGAATCCAAGTGCTTGGAGAACGGCGCCAATTTGGAGCCGTTATCTGAGTCGCTCTTCAGATAAATCTTGATACAAAATTAACACACAGCACAGTAAAAATAACAACAACAACAAAAATCAATTGAAACACTATTTTGTTTTTTTTTTTTTTTCCTTTTTTTGTTTTTGGTAAACAATTTCTTAGGCGAAATCGCACGAGACGAATATGTGTCGCATTTTCAGACGAGCGAGCGAGGGGCGTGCTGAGGGGAGGGGCGCGTTGCAGCGTTTAAGCAATATTTAACTGAGACGCGAGCGAATTTTGGTAAATCTAAGGAAACGCGTCTGTTTGATTGAAACGCGCTATGGAAACTGAAATGCCTTTTATTTTTCACAAAATTTTTTTTTTTTTGTTTTTGGTTTTTGTTTTGTGCGCTCCTTTGGCCGCCGCTGCTGCTCCTGCTGCTGCCGCTGCTGCTGCTGCTGCTGCTGCTTCCACAGGGGATGGTTGGCAGCGCGACAGGATGCAGTCCCAGTTCAAGGCATAGCCAGTGCCGCACACACACACACACGCACACACAAGCACACAATTAGGGGAAGGCAACCAAAAATGCCAGCGTCGACAGCAACAGCGACGTCGACGTCGACAGCGACGCGTCGTGCGTCATGGTATATGAGAATCAGGGAAATTCCAAGAACCGCCAGCAAAGAAATTTCATTTCAAATCATGTTTTTTAGACTGCTCCCTCCGCTTGTCGCCCTCTCTCTCTCTGTATCTCTCTCTATCTCACTCTATCTCTATTTCTAACTCTAACACTCTGCCTCCCTCGCTCACTCTTTTACTGTAAAGCTGGTCAAAGCTTCAAAGCAACTGTACACACACACACACACGCACACACATACTCACACTCAAATTGCAACTAGATCGGGCATTTGTAGGGGTTAGAGGGTGCACAACAACAACAACAACAGCAACAACAACGACAACCCGATAAAAACGGCGCAACTATTTAATAATAATGCACGGCTGCATTGCCTCTGCCTCGGCCTCTGCCTCTGCCTCTGCCTCGGCTTGGCCGGCTAATGGGGTTGCTTGACGTGTTTGTAGGCCTCATAGGGGTTGACTATGCCATTTTTCATAATCTCATACACACCGAGAGAGAGGCAGAGAGAGAGAGAGAGAGAGAGGCATTTAGTGAGAGTGAGAGTAAGAGAGTGAGCTATTTGTACATTTTATCATATTCAATTTTGGGCTACAAACATTTCCGGTTCATTGTAATTTCCAATTAGACAAGACTTAGGCCCGACTTACAGCTGCCATTGTTGAGGTTGTGCATTAATAAGGGAATGTGCGTGCGTGTGTGTGTGTGTGTCTCTGTGTGCTGTATCCTTACCACCCTTGCTCTGGCAATTGGAATTTATGGTATTTATTATTTTCGCTTGCATTTCTATATTTTCCTTCGCCTGTGACTAGGAACAGCTGTGCGAGACGCTTTGTTGGCGTTGCTCTTGCTCTTGTTGTTGTTATTGATGGTGATGGTGGTGGTGGTGGTGGAGTTGTTGGTGGTGGTGGTGGTGCTGCTGCTGATGATGGTGTGGTGGTGGTGTTCCTGCTGCAGGATCAGTCACCCCACTTGAAAAATTCCAGCGTGAGCATGTGTGTGTGTGTGTGTGTGTGTGTGTATGTATGTGCGTGCTCATGATGCGTGAGCTGTAATGCTGCTCATTAATGGGGTGATCTTTATTCAAATCTCAACTGCAGTCACACGCATTCTTTTCATTCGATTGGCTTATACCCTGTAGATAGCTTGACTTGCTTAGCTGCTCTTAACTCTCACTAAATATTAGCTATCAGTTTATCATATATCTGCAAGGTTTCTCATAACTTAGTAGAGCAGCTCTCCTATCATAGTTAGTTTTAAGCTAACACCTCATATGCTTGCCTAATATACCCTGTATATAGTTACATTACTTTCTACAGGTTTCGAACAACCATAAATTAATCGATATTTATCGAATATGCTTTCAGCATTTCTTCACATTTCACATTTATAGGGTATATACACACGCATGCATGCATGCACATACATCTGTGAAAAGGACACTGAATTAACCCCTAACCTACGCCACATAGCTGACGCACCACTGTGCTGCCGCTGCACAGTGTGACATAATTGGCATTCCGTGCTCTTATCACAAACTAAAACAAGAGACGCAAAAAGGAAAACATATATCGCTGCATATTAGACAGGACATGCACAGCACAGGATGCACACATCGAAATATCAACAGACATATACATATACATAGAGATATATACATGTATATTTATATGTATATGTATATATTCATGCTTTTATCTGTTCTCTGTGCTTTTCAGTCATCATCACATCACAGTTAGCCAAATACCCGACTTGGCATTCATAGTCCTGTGCGCTCTCGCAACCCCGACACAGGACTTGCTTGTCCTTTGCCATATAGACGGAAAGGTGGTGATAGTTTTTATCATCAATCAACTGTTCATCTGTGTCTGTCAGTATATGTCCCCCCCCCCTCTCTCTCTCTCTCCCTCTATGTGTGTGTGTGTGTGTCTGGGCACTTGAAAAAAAATCCAATCATCTTATTTGCAAGCCTCGCTGCACAGACACAAAAAACGCTATCCTCAACATGAAATGCTCTCAAGGCTTAAACCTCTGTGCTGACCCAAATGGGTCTGGCTTAGCGCAAATCTGCATACAGGTTGTTCAATTTAAGGGCGACGACTGGAAGCACCCAAACCGAACCGAGCTCCAGAGTTTCACGCCTTGACTCAACAAAAACCGAACATGAATAAAACAAAAAGTGACTGAAAGTTGATTTTCAATATTTTAGCTAATGGCAAAGGTAATAGTATTTATTTCGGAAGGTACTTAAGAAGCTTTTTCCAAAATGTGTTCCCCATTGACTTGATTTTCCTTTATATATATTAAATTTGCTTAGATTTAATACTTGAATCGAGCTCACTTAAACTAAGGGACAATTTGCGAATTTTAACGAAAATCCAAAATCCGATAACACTTTAATCGAGTACATTAAATCGAGTAGAGTAATCGATTATGTAAAAACAAACTTGATATGCGAAATATACGGAAAATCGACAACAAAAGTATTTAGCTCTCATTGAGTCTGAGATCGAGACGTCTATACGTATGAATAGAAGATATAGACAGACCGAGAAATTATTAAATTTTATATGCGGGATATGTAGTACGATAGAGAGGGAAGGCGACAGTATGAGAAAGAGAAAGAGTTACAGGGAGTGAGAGAGAGTGAAAGCAAGACCCTGGAGTACTAGAAATTCGAATACCAATATTAAAAGAGCTTTCAATGTTAAAAGAGATTTCAACAAATTTGGAATATTCCTTGTTATAGATTCGGTTCTTGGAATCCCAATAAAAATGGGAAATCAGGGTATAATGTTTTTATTATTTTTTTTTTTTAATATAAAATATATATATATCTTTCAATTGCTCTCATTGCTTGTTTGCTCAAGCTCAAGTGTTTTTCGAGTGTGTGTGTGGGTGTGTGTG